TTATGATACCAGTCCAATACTCATTTCAAATTAGGTTCGATTTTGAGTGAATTATTATGAAATCAAGTGATTATGATCATAAAGCCTGTATATGTACCTATATTTCACGTAGTGATTTATTATCAAACTCCCACTGGTGAGAGTATATGAACAAATATTATGAAATATACTGTAACGGGCTTTGTTTCTGGAGCCCTTACTTTGGCGCTCTGTTCAGGGCGGAGACCACTCTGGTATTTGACGGAGGAGGGGGGGTTCTCGAGCGCCAGATTGTTTTTGAGATAGTTTACTCTACCTCCTCTGCACAGAATGTTTTTGTACAGAGGCCGAAAGTACGGACAGTGGAGAAAGGTACAGGGGGTTTACCTACCTCGGTACCTAGAGTATAAACCAGGGGTCAATGTTATTGAATCGACCTGGAATCAATAAGGGGCCGAGGAAATGTAGGCTTTGATTACAAACCCTGGGTTCATCCTGGAATACTGATTGCTATTTCTAGTCAAGATAATTACAGGAATCAAAGCAACATATCTCTCAGGTCTCTGGTATTTTTAGGTTAGGCCTGGAAAATTATTTATTCAAACTATTTCATAAAGTCTACCTGTACAATCGGAAACAGAATTCTAAAAGAATTGAACAGATTCAATTCCTATTAATCTTTCCTCTTCCTTCGATTTTCTTAAATTCAATCTCGAGATTTTTGGTGAGGTTAATTATATGCTTCCATTCATGTCCAAATTTCATGAACCACAGAACACTGCCTGACGGGACACAAAACACAAAGACACCGGTGCAGAGGACTGGATTCCTCAGGGAACAGAAGAAGAAGAAGAAGAATGGACCACTGGCTTGTCAGTTTCAGCCATCACCGTCAGCCGTCAGTCAATAATAATAATCAGCAATTTGACGAATGAAAATATTGAAAATCATCAAATGATTTATTGAACTATTTGAAACTGGGAACAATGACAACAGAGAAAGAGATATGAAATATGCAATCCCAAAAACCGTTTATTCGCAAATACAAAGTTCTGGATTCCTTACACAGGTCGGGTGAGTATCGGTATGAAAAAGGAATCTATGAACAGGATGAATAAAAATGGTGAGGAATATACAAACTCACATGTGTAATAGAAAATCACTATACAATAATACTTTACACTGGTTTTGAATGAAATAGGAGAGCACTGCGGGAGATCAGCAAGAGAACCAGGAGCTTGAAAAGCAAAGCGTATATAACGTAGATCAGGTAGTGTAGACTTGTAGGGAAGAGAGTGATCCCTTTGCTGTCTTCAGCATTTATATTCCCTCCTTGACCTCGATACAAGGACAGCTCGATCCTAGGTTCTTATTGGTCGGAATCCTCAACTATGACTGCAGGAACAATCATCCAAAAGCACATGTTCTTAAACCCACAAAAATGCAGAAAAAATCATATTCAACCCTAAATGGGCACAGGAACAGGATCTACTACCCTTGCTAATGCTACTGAACGAATTTGACTAAAAAACATCCAATAACAAAAAAGTTATGACCAGGTAAACATCCATCATTTCAACTGATAAATAATTTATCCAAACTTCATATCATAAGCAGAGGGTTGAAAAATATAAAAGCATTCAGGGTTGTAATGATGTTCATCAGGGTTCACTAACAGGAGAAGCTTTGGAAAGTCAGGAATCAATGCATTACTTAGCTCTCCCAGGTTTTCAGGTTTCGCTCTTTTGAACAAGTGAAATTCAAGCAGGTTACTTAGATATTAATCAAAACCGGTCTAGTAATGAAGCTGATCAAAAACACTTCATTATAATACCATTATATTATTGGCTGAACTTGTTTATGTTTGGGGGGGGGGGGGGGGGCATCCGACGAATTCGCAACGAGCTTCGAACGGTATGTATAGTTGTTTTTTGTTCGTTGAAGATTGATTGGAATGTTTCATTCCAGACATGATTTCTCTCGATAGTCCCGCACTAGTTCTGTAGACATTTTCATAATTCTCTGCATAGTTTGCCTAGGTCTCGAATGATCAACTGAATCAAGTGAATTATCGCGAAATAGTTTTCATCAGTTAACGTCTGCTAAGCGTCAGTATATCCCATTAACTGTACGAGGGGATTAACTACCATGTACGCCACACTCATCTAATTCATTTAATGAACTCGTCATGCACGAAATCGGGAGTAAAAGCCACCCCGATGTGTATCCGGCGTAATCCCTTTAGCCGTGGTGGCCATTTTAGGCTCCAAGCCCGAACTTACATTTGTCACATAGGAAGATCTCACCGGCCGCGTTCAAACCCGGATTTTCGGATATTATTCCATCCACTCCGGCAGTATCTACCTATGACAACAATAGACGCTGTTAATCAAGTTAATCGTTTGATATATTGTCGCGAGTCGATCATCCGCTGTTGATATAAATTCAAAACATAGTAGTTTCTTGAGAAACACATGAATCGTTGGCTTTGGGAACATTAGGTGATAGAAAATACCCTGTACTGGAGAAATATCGCTTTTCTGAAATTGATATTATACAGTGTCATTCATGAAATCTGATCCAATATAGAAAAAACTTTCAATGATGATTTGTCTAGAAATTCGACTTTGGCGATAAGTTTTGCTTTGGTAACTATGAAAAATAGACTACTTGGTCGGAGTCACGTGACTTTCGCTGCGTGTCAGTATTTATTATTCTTGAAAACTGGATAACAGGCTGATTTGTTTGAATTTCGAATAATTTTACGAGTAGAAGTTGTTCCTATCACATTTTCACATATATGCAGTATCTCGAATTCAAACGTTTCTATAACGATTTTCAGTTTTTGATATTTTTTCAATTTCTACGGAATGACTGTTATGTTGAAAAATGTAACACCGACAAAACATGCTAGCAGCTTCATCATGATTCTAACTTTCTATTACTGATTATCGACAAAAATGTGTTTTTCTTTAGAGAATAATAATCCTTGTTTCCTGTTATCCCTGATAGCACACTGGATATTCATGTAACGTCACACCCTGACATTCTGGACGTCCATATATTCAGCATGTTTCAGCATATCATCATTGATGATTCCTGAGCTTTCCAGATATTTGATGAGCTCATTGTTAATGGTTTATTCAATTACTTTGGAGATGACTGACAAAAAGGCAATAGGCCTGTAGTTATTGAGCAGGAATTGTTCTTTTATTGAGGATTGATTGGGAAGTATCAAGGTGAAGATAATGAATTTAGAAAGCTGTCACGGTGCTGATTGAATCATATTATTGAATGTTCAGGAAGCTGATCATAACTACTCAATTCTCAACTTTCTCTAATTCACTCCTGGTAAATCAAGATACGGTTCATCAAACTATCCATGCATGTTCTGCTGACATACCTTTTTAATTCATCATAGTATCTCCACACCTATAGAACTTCAATTCAGGATGACAAAGTGGCAATTAGGTCAACTTTTCGTCAGACTGAAATTTATGACCTACTAAGGCTACTCAGACACTTTTAACCAGTATAGCAATTTTTTGTGGATTTGCCTCGTGAAAGAATCGTTATTTTCCAAGGGTGAGTGCTTGCACAAAAATCTCACAAATCACAGTATTTATTGGCCTCCGACATACGTTCAGCGGCGAAATCTCGTCAGTCTCTGCAGCGCCACCTGCATGCAGTGGCGCGAATTGAAGGATGAGAAGTAGTGTGTTTATAATATTTCAATCGTTTGATATTTGAAAACTGACTTGAGTCCCACTAGACTGAATAGTTAACCTATCTGTTTCATAATACTTTCGAAATAATAATTCGAAACGGAAAAAACCGAAAATAACTGACTCAGGTATACGGAAATACGTTCACTGAATGTTGTTGATAAAATCTCACTACGCAGGTGAAGTAAAAAAGCTACTTGAAGCTAATATCATGATCATTATATCATCGACTTTATAGTCAGTATTACTCATTTCACTATTTAGTAGACTGAACGATCTGAAACTGTATAGATTGATATTCCATCGTATATAGATTGAATTGAAATGTTCAAAATTGAAAGACTAAAAATTACATACAATATCATGAATAGAAGATTGAAATTTAATTTTATTCCAACACGAAACAATGAAATTCATAATTACCAAACTAGACAACATGGTTTATTTCATATTGATATCGCTAATTCTTCTATAGGCCAAAAAGGATTCACCTACGCTGCTCTCTTGGAATATAACAAATTACCAGGTAATATAAAAAATTGCAGAAATACAATAAAATTCGAATACCAAATTAAAAAATGTATCCTTTCTGAACGAAATAGATGATTTTTTTCCTCATCTTTTGATTTATATTCAAATTGATTTTTGCTCACCAATATGAAATGATTTGTCAAAATTTAATACTTGATGTTTTCAAATATTATATCATTTATTGGTTCATCATAATTGTATAGTTTTAGGTAGTATTGTTGACTATACTTCCTCATACCAGGACTGACTGGAAGTACTGGAAGTAACATTTTCGATAAATAAATAAATAAATAATATAGAGTGTAAATTTGATCGACAAGAGTGGAACATTCAAGTTCAGTAGTGTCAGTAAACACTAGTATGAATTCAATTTCAATTGTTTGTGAATTGGGTTATCTGAATTACTATTCAATCAAAATTTCAGGTTTATATAGAGTGGAGTCAATACGGCATTAGTGGAAATTCAATCTAGAATCAGATCAAATAGAGATAATATGCGAGGAGTGTAGTTATAGAATTGATTGCAGTATCAGAGTGAGTTTTCCAGAGTATTTCAACTCCAAAAGCTATCATGAAACCGAAATCAATTGTTTTTGCGGCTTATTTTTCCATACAACACGCCACCTCTGTCGAACTCACTACCGACAGAAGTTCGAGAGTCGTTTTTGTTTTTATTTTCAGAGCCCGCCAACAGATTTTTCTCTGCCAGAAGTCGCGAGGAGCATCGATAAGTGGAAAACACCAATAGGGTGCCTAAGGACTCACAAGCAACATGTATCTGTCTCCGATCCTCGGCGTTTCCCCCGGGAAATCGAGGATTGTCTGCTCGACATACTAGCTCCTTGCCGTCGTCCTCTGCAACCACGTTCAGTGACAAAATGCTGCCGGTGAAGGTCTCTGTCTCTTCTTCCTTGAAAAAAGGGGTGATGTTCAGGGTGGCTACACACAGAAAACAATTTCTTCGAATGAGAAAACCCATTTTCTTGAAAATTCAATTGTATATCTTCTTTGAATTGAGCATATTTTTTCGAGTCGAAAAATCTGGTATGTTCAAGAAAACAGTGTCATTCTATTGAAATATATTCTCGAACCAAGATTGCAGTTATCCAGTTCCTGAATTAATTACTTCAACTCAATCAGAACGCTTTTCCAATTCGCAGAAGCGTACTATTTTGTTTCAATAAATTTATTGCTTGATCCAAGAATATGAGTATACATTTCTTCAAATTGAAGAATGCTCATTTCATCGAATGATATATTCAGTTTCCTCAAATTGCAAAAACCTGATATGTTGAGGGAATACGTAATTTCCTTGACACAAAAATGTAAATAGTTATTTCTTCAAATGAAGCATTCTCATTTCACCATATTGATATAACAATTTGACGCGATGTGGCTGAGAGGGATATGCTTAATTTATTCGATTCTCTTAAATTGAAAATTGGGATAGTATGTGGCAACAGCGCATCATCCGAGTATGTTCGGATTCTGTGGGCCAGACGAAATGTGGCCAAAACGGGTGGTGGCTGAGAACAGATGCTCCTAATGCAATATCTTCAACTTGATGATAATAATAATTTCTCTAAATGAAGAAGCAACATCTTGATTCAATAATATATTTACCTGATTCAAGTCCATGAATAGGTATTTCTTCGAATGAAAATAATATGCTCTCGAAAATCAAGGTTAAGCAATCTCGAGGCCGAAACTCAGTCCCATTATGGCAGGCACACACTGGCGAAACGGCATTGAGCTGCGTTGTTTGGAAATCTTGAATGTTATATTGAGTGTGTATAGGTGTGAATTGTCTTAGAACATAAATATCTAACAAATTCTGGACTTGTAGATAGCTGGTGAGTAGGTACCTTTGCAAATTTCGGTAGTCATTGTGAGTGAAACAACGATTTTTCAATCGGAATAACAGAAATTCATTCAGTCCTGCTATGTAAATATGCTCATCCTGTCATACGGAATTCTTTTGTAGCAAAATGAAGATTGGTTGATGAATGAAGAAGTATTATCTACAAATAAGGTATTGCAAAGACTTGAAAGAACCTTGAAATTAGGTGAGAGAAAATTTTCTGCCAAGTATCTCGAATCTATTAATCCGATATCTTCCAGAAGGCATGATATACGATATTACATATTATAGAGGTGTGTTTTTGATCAATTATAATACTGATGTCATTGTTTGTGATCGTTATCATATCCAGCAAAACTTCAAGAAGACAAAATCAATGCATGTGATTATTCTATAACCATTTGGGGTCATGATGGACTTTACTGATCCAAGTTGCACCTATACATAACGGGATTATTCAACTGAAGCAACAAACATATATTTCTTCACGAATATTCTGTGGACTTCAGTTATCCCATTAGGAATCATTCACAGATTGGAATCAACAACATCATTATATTTTCAACTGAGCAATCAATATTTTGATACAAAAAATAGTCCCATTGAAGAGAATGAGCTGAATATTCATTATGAAGAACTCATGAATTCGGATAGAAAATATCAAGGTTTTTATTGAAAATTGACGGAATTTTGACTAAAATAAATGGTGCATTTTGAAATGGAAGAGGACAATTCTCAATAATTATTTTATTCCATATAGTTGCAGATTGAGAAAATGATTGCATTCTCTTGCTGGATAGATTCCATACCGCAGAATTCCGGTTTTCTTGAAAGAAGTGAATAGTTTGGTCAATATGAATTAATTTCATTCTCACTTCAAAATAACAAACGTCTGCAACCATGCATATCTTAATTTTCCCACAAGAGACTTGTTGAATGGATAAATTTTTCGGAACAAGAATACCATCTGTTCCGTTATATACTAACAAATTATTTTCTTCAACCAATGCAGTCATGGTCAATACAAGAGATTCTTCCTTCATGTGTAGAAATCTTGCCACATCATTGGGATCTCGTGAGGGATTAAATAATGGCAAAGTTGCGCGATCAATTCGAAAAATTCCGAAAACTTCCAATGTGTTTTCGAAGAAACCGACTATTCGCGATTTCATTTTTATATTTCAATGACTCTATTCGAATAGATGTTACGGTAGTTCATCACATACCTTCAGAGGGTGTAAAGTGTTACAACTAATTTCTTGAGACAGTGATATGTGATTTTTCATCGAGGTTTGTATGCTATTCTATGCACAACTATAATATCTTTCACGGAATTTATCATATTTCAATCCATAATTTCTCGAACGTCAACAATGGAATACAAAGGCAACCATAAAAAAGTTCATTGATGACGACAACTAACAACAAATAATTCATTTTCTCAACAGTAGGTTTAGGTAGTAGTTAGTAGAAAAATTTGTTTCTATAGTCGCTATGGCGTTCAATGAACACGTCAGTGTCTGGACGCTGTTATTCACATTGTTTATGGAATGTCGGATATAGAGCTGGACGGCATTCCGCCTGACATGAAGGAAGAGCAGAGAAAGCTGAAGCCAATCTAGATCGAGGTATGATATATAGAGCATATGATACCTACAAAGATTGGTGTGGCAAAAAATGGTAACAAAAGCTGCATCGGAAACATCGTTCACAGGTGGAAAATGTTCCACTATTGAGTGGAAGGTAGAAGTAGAAAATAACGGCAGTTTCAAACTTCTTGAACGTCAGTAATGCGATGTCATTCCATATATATTCGTAAATGAACCTTATTAAGTACACACTCTCATTGCTACTGTTTATATTCAACATAATGGTGTTTTTTCAGCAGACGATTCGTCTTTGAGCTGACATCATCAACTTTACTTTTATGAAAGCGGTATAAATTTTCAAATATGGATTCGTTAGAGCTTCTGATCTCCCTGAAGAACGGTGTTTTCCAATTATCATTGAAAGTATGTGGAACACTTGAAATTATCACGAAATGGCATTTTTTTTATAAATGCATGAAATTGCGCAAATTTGCCATGATTGAACCGACCCTGTATGTCTTACTGATCACGAGATCCCAATTATGAGGCTAAAATTCCAGCCACCCTGTACAGATTTACGAGAAAATCTGATGAAATTGGAGTGGCTGATTTTTTATCTCAACATATTGCGATGGGACAGGAAACATTCTGTATGCAGTTTTCACTACACTTCATTCATTTCTTTTACGATTGAAAGATCAAACAAAGGGATATACCACAAATAACACATCACAATTCAGTGATAGAATAGAATATGATATGTCCCTTCTCCATGCTACCAGTGATATAAGCTCGTCCGTATACACATCCAGAGTATTTTTTCATGAGTTAACGTAATCAGTAGGTATGGAAGCATTCCGCGATGCCCAATTCCGACGAGGCCCAATTTCCATGAAGCCCAATTCTAACGACGCCCATCTTCATGTCGACGATTACGAAGATTTCCGTTAAGCGCAACGTTGCCAGGTCGAGACAAAAATTCAGATAACAAAGAATCCTCACGATGCCCAATTTCTACGATGCCCAATTCCCACCATGCCCACTTTCCTTGGATTCACACCATGCTCACTTCTCATACGTTCCCACGATGCTCAATTCCCAGGATGCCCAATTCCCACCATGCCCACCGTTTTTAAATTCACACCATGCCCACTTCTCATATATTCTCACGATGCCTAATTCTTATGATGCCCAATTCCCTTCTTACTCACCTTCTTTGAATGAGTAGGCATGGTATGAATTGGGCATCGTGGAAGAAGGTGGGCATGGTAGAAATTCGGCATCGTTGAAATTGGGCATCGTGAGAATCTATAAGGATATGGTGGGAATTTTTTGTTTTGTGAAATTCTTTTTTGGCCTGGCAACGTTGCGCTCTTCAATGTTCGTAATCGCCAACATGAAGGTGGACATGGTCGTGCTACGCACACACCAGTATGAGGATAACTAAATTCAGCACAATTCTGAAAATTGATAGTGATGATGAAGAGAACAAGGAGAATCCAACTGAGGAATTTTCGTTATTGTGAAGCTCCCGGATTTTTCGGAGTTGACGTCATCTTTGTTATTTCCAATAGACAACTCAGTATTTTATTACATTTCTGAATTCTGTTCATGATTTTCAACCAAATCTGTTCACCTTGAATGAACCGTTTTCAAGTTACTCGATTTTTCTTGGGAAATTCGCAAATACAGCTTAACAAACATACGCCATTTTCATGAATGCAATTTATAGTGATATGAAATGATGAAATCATAAATATTGAAGGTAATGAGTGGGAAATTGGGTGTCTCATTGAGAATAACAAAGATTTACATACTTCTTACTTATGTAAGTGTAGTAGTTGGATTCATTATTTTTACTTCAAAAGTTTATTCTCTGATGAATCTAGGGCACAACTCAGACCACCATTTGACAATATTCTGTAGGAATAACCAGTGGCAGTGATCGTGATTTTTGTGAGAGGATGGAGATAAGAATTCATCCCTATACCTGTCAGCTATCTGAAATAACAAAGCTATATGACTCTCTGAAAAAGCCAACTTTGACAGGCATTACCCAGTGGGATCTGAGTTTATGCATCATCTTGGTGAGGTATTTTGAAAACGATGATCAGCAGGCATATTGGAATCAACAATCAACAAAATGATGGTGAATTCTATAATTCAAGCGGTTCTGCGTTCAGCAATCATCCTGCTATGATCGAAATGATAATATGATTATTGATATTGTACTTATCCCCTGAAAGATCTCATCTCTTTCCTATCGCACTATAGCGTATTATTCTGAGAAAAAATATAAAAAACACAGTCAGTCGATCACACCTTTCGAACGTAAAATAAACTTGAACATGTATTACTGTCTTCGGTGTCAAGACACATATCTTCTTAGTTTTGTATTCTTCTTCTATTCCTTCAACTCACTTCAGAAGCTTATCATCTTCCTTTTCACTTCTCCCTTTTTTCTGTTACAACTTGAATTCAATGTTGTTAGTCAATGATCGACCATTAAATTACATTTTTTATTTTCTTGTCCAATGGGCTTATATCACAAAAAAATTTTATTTCATAATTCGATAGAACTCACCCAAACTAGCTCACCACTGCAAACCGTTTCTTGCTGTGAGCTCCCTACGTTTTATAAAAAATTAGCGAAATCCCCGATTTTTTTAACCTCTGAAAACGAGGCGATGATGTGACGTCAAAACCCTTATACTGAAACAAGACTATTCCAGACAGAGATGAATGATACATGATTTCTGACAAAGTGAATTAGCGCAAGATCACAGTTGAAAGAATTAATATATCAGTTGCCTCAGTCTCCGTCGGGCGTTTGGTATTTTCTTTTAACTATGATGAGATGAGGTTTCTACGTCATAAGAGGGTCCGTTTTCAGAAAATACTATTATTTATGTCCAAAAATAAAACATTCCAGTTAATTTTTCGATCGAATTATGTCGTCAATCATTATTTTTGTATAAAAGGATCATTATAAACATGGTTTGAGTTAAAAGTTCTACTAAGGTGTACACGCCCATTGTCAAGGTCTCTGTACGTGTCAAATTTGTATCACATTCATATTGCTGTTATTCAATAATGTGGTTTTTAACGATTTTTGGATTTTCTCATTTCCTACCAACTTTAACAGAGCAGGCTTTTTTCTGGATCCTCAGCAAATATGTAAAGAACAAAACAGTTGAAGCATTTGGATCTGATTGTCCAATGACGAATCTCTGGAGTATACGATGTGTTTACGTAATTTGAAGATGTTTGACACTTTGCACATTCTCTTCCTTCTCAAGATCATCATCATCATGTTGATTTATCTACAGGTACTAATATTCATTGTCTGATGATGACCGTAGCACCGAATCCAGCAACAAATGACTGCTGACTGACTTGTTTCTCGTATTCTTTTTTTGAAACTACTGGAATAACTTTGGGACAAGGGGTATTTTCATGATTCAGCGTATTTATCACCATACTACCGTCAATACTAGGTGGAGTGCCAATATCACACCTTGAATAGTTGCAAATCTCTCAGACCAACGTTTCAGAAGCCTACTTACGGTAACAACGGCGTCCCTGATTGCCCTTCCGTCTAACAGCCATGTTAATTTTGCAGGAGGATGAGATCCGGAAGTCTCGCATCTGATGTTCTGAGATTTACTGGCAGACAGCAGGGTATTAGGTGTGACTATCTTAACTTTGTTCGGTTTAACTGAAACAGAGAAAAATCATTTTTTTCTACTAGCTTGCGGAATGGTCTTCTTTTGCGCATTCAGTTTAGTGCGGCATAGTGAATTTGATGTGTTTCTGAGAGTATACTGACATTCGATTCTGAAAATAATGAATGATTCCTTATGTTAAAGTCACCTTTCTATACGCGACTGCTGGCCGAACTCGCTTTTACTAGAGTGCAGAAAAGTACATTTGTTTGCACTCATATTCGTGTTGACAGAGTGCGGCGAATTCTTCGAGTTTCTGAGGAGTATTCTGACATTTGAATAATCAATAATGGAGAATTTTCCTTTCTGCTGAAGTTTGGGGTCTCCTCACTCAAATTATTGTTGAAATAGTCACGCCTTCGCAATATTGCGTATAAATCAATTCGCCAAGTATTTTGACGTTTGAATATTCAATAATTATTTATTCTTGTATCTAGAGCGCAAAATGCAACTTTGGTGATCGAGATCTGATTTTTTTAACGAGGCATAGTTGATAGTTCTGGAGTGAAAATATGCTCAGCTTGATATGAAAACTAGTGTTGAATTGGCTCAAAAAGCCTTCCCCTATCCTCCCTAGATATATGTACGATGTTCCATGAACATAATAGGAATTCCTTTTCGTGCGCTCCAAGAGATGCAACAGAGTTATTGTTGAATATTCAGAAATAAATGATGATGTTGGCTCGATTGGAGACCATGAAGTTGAGATATAAATATCTCATATATTTTTCATAACAATGCGCGAAGTAGGTACTTCGCGCATTGTTTTGTGCAAGGTATCATGGTAACGTATAGGAAACTGAGAAAAAGTGTCACTTCGCAATTTGTTATCGATGCGCATACATTGTCATTTTTTGACGTTTGCAGAAAAAATAATGAATGTTCCCTTATGTGAACCCATTTTACGCACGTATAAGTAAAAGAACGGTGTACCAAACACATGAGAATAATAGTATCACTTCCCGCACTTGTTATATAAAGGACTCAACGAACATGCGACATTTTTGCAGTTCATTTCGAAGTGGGCACTATCTAGAATTTGAATTCGGAATGAGCATAAACCATCAATCCTATGGGTATCACAGAATTATATGAATGCTTTTCAACTTCACCAACTTTGCCATAAAAACAAGTACAGTGTTGAGAGTATCGAGTCCATCGAATACACTTGTTAATGCCCTATGTTTGAATATCCAGAGAATGATATTCTAGTGGGATCAAATGTGGATAGTGTATGGAGTACATTAGATACTATCAAACAGAGTATAATGGAATAGAGTATCAACCGATTAGGGTATTCAGTATGCATTAAAAAACCATTGTTATTTGTACAGAGAAGTGGAATAATAGTGAACTGCTTCGATTTCCAGTAGGCAATGACCAAAATAGAATTCAAAGAAGAAGAAGAGGTGTATACAGGGTGTTATTCAAGTATGTGGCCAAACTTCAAGAGTTGATTTTTTGAGTGATTTCATGTCGAGAATTTAATGTGAACATGGAAATACACCAGTTTCAAACGATTGAAAGAATATATCGTTCTCGTTGATACCTACCGCAAGAATTCCTCATCAAATTTTGTTGAAATATGGCAGTGTTATTCGTGGTAGTAAGGTAGTAATCAAGTCATCACTAGATTCGAATATTCTTCGAAAAATTCCACACTTTATATTTTGGAAATGATGCATATTTTTTGAAGATAATAACGAATTCACGATATTCGAAGAAACAGCATTGTCCATCAGAGAATATAATAAATAACTAGTACTAGTTTGTAAACCATACCTCAGAGAGGAATGAGGATGTCTCTATACATTCCGCGCATAAAACTATTCCAGATGTCATTCTAATTTCTAGTAACATTGTGTAGATATAGAAGTTTTTCAAGATGAAGTAGAGGGTTCAGAATGGAGCTGTTTCTTATGGAAAATCTGATAGGGACATCTTGAGGGTAACAAGAGAAGAAACGGCAGGACCAAGAATACCACAAGGCTCTCTCCTCTCGAACAACCAAAATGAGAACACTGTACAATTTTCAAATTTTGCATTATTACCTGATAATCAAATAGGCTGAATAAATCGACGTAGCAGACATGGTGAGGAGTTAAGACTGATACTTGACAGGTCACTCATTTCAATATTGTTCGCATCAGCTAATGTATCAAAGTCTTATTTTGTTATAGGATATTCATAACAACAAGTAACCCACATGTCTTGTCACCAACTCTAACCTAGAGGTTTTAAAAATTATGGGCTAACGAATATTATTTGTTCTGCAGTGAAAATATCCAATGTCGATGTACCTACTTCCTTCTTGGGTGAGTTTGATAGCTCCTGCTAATACCAGATTCAGTCCTCATGTTTGTAATTACGGACATAGCGGCTGTCTAACCTGCTCAGGAGGAAATCATTGATACCTGAACTTGCTATGAAATGTTCATAATACGAAATTAAGAAATGGTTGGACGAAGAGAATGGTGCATTTCGTGCTGCTTCCCTGAGATCACTTGGGTAATCTGAACATAAGCCATTTTACTTCAGTGAGTATATGGAACGAGTCTATTTCGTGAATATTGTCGCTGATTTGTGACCATATTAATATTTGATGGAGACTCCAAAGTGACGGGCGAAATCAACTGGCCGACTATATTTTGTACATAATCAATCAGTAGAACTTTCCCTGTCCTAGTGAAATTTTTCACACGAGAGTTTTTTTGTCGATGTGAATTTGACATGTATCAATAAGAACTATATGTTTTCTGGCAATTTGACGAAAAAAACTACCTCTATAGAAATTACGAGTCCGTAGGACGAGTAATTCTTCCTATCAGTTTTCTGAAATGAATGACCTAATGGCAACAGAATTTGAATTCCAAATGCCAAGTTCACTTCGACTGATAAAAAGCTAGAGTGTAATTTGGTAGGTCAATTCAATTCATCAAACATTTGTTCATGGCTGGTTGTCATGCTTTTGAAAGTTAGGTTCCGCGTTATTTGGAAATTTAGGGCAAACTTTTTTCGCAGTCATAGTGACCAAATCACACGGCTTATATAATTCTTCATACTTGAATTGATTCGCCATCATTATTTGAAAAAAAAAATTGTGAGTAACTAGTTAGGAAATGCATTTCGTGTAACTCAGTATTTTGCGTCCCACAAAATCCTATTGTCTCACGAAATGACGCGTTTTCAACTGATTACGTAAATATCTATTTCAACCGTCTTCCTCTCCATCTATTCACTTGATTGAAACTAAGCAAAAATCATTTGATTTGCATGAAGGATGATGCTAACCAACCAACTATCCCCTTGAGAATTTATATTACCTTTCAGATCGGATAAATTATATGATGGAAAATGATACAAGAATATAACTCATTAATATATTCGACATTGAGAAGGAAATTCAGGAAAAATCATATGGAAATTCTCCAATAGTTGATGGATATTCAGTCAGCAAATGATTTCATAGAATTGGATTCGACTCATTTCTGATATTTCCATATCTACTCGAAGTAATTGACAGTTTGAGAATGTTAACGTCAAAATATGTCATTACCATGGTGACTCGCTTCTTCATCAGTGAACATTTACCAGGGCACTCATTAGTTGAATTGATACTGGTCACTTGGTCAAAAACACGTAGATATGATGCACCATCAAATTACATGGGAACATTGTTCTGATGAACCATTCTGGGTAGGTTATTTGACAGTTGTACGATGAATTGATGTTCATCATACATGGCGTGGAAAAAAATCTGAATTGAAAGAATCCAATCACGGATCTGTGAGTTTGTGAGAGCCAGTCTCTATCGTTCAAGTTGAAACCTGGATATATATACAGGGTGTTTCATAGGAACCTGACCTCCTTGCTAGGGTAGTTAGAACACTGCGGAATAAATTGGGTTTCCTAAGTAAAACAATGTCGTAACGGCATCTGTTTTCAAGATACAAGTTGTTGAGAGAATGTTTTTTCAAACATTTTCCACGACTTTGTCGAATCTACTGGGGAAATTGAAATGGAATTTGGGATGAATGTGTTCTGGGGGCTGACACATAGCATGAATTTGATTTGATTTCTGACTCTCATAGAGGGCACTAGTTGCACTGTTCGTTCAGAGTAGTTTTGGATATAACTTTTTCAAACTAGATTTATCAATCCAGAGATGTCAACTCAAACATCATTCAACTTCATACCAGAAAGGGACTCTTGGTGAAACTCGATACTGTCTTCCGTTTTCAGAATATTTCGATTTGAAAATGATTGCTGGTATAGAGCTATGTTTTAGAGTGAGTATTGTGATAAACTATCGCCTATTCATTGAAATCCGGAAACAACAATATATTGATAATGCGTAACTCATTGATTGAACAATGAATCACAAAAATCACATCGAAACAGATTGGACTAAAAACATGGAAACTGAAGACATTTCGAACACTCATTCCAAATGATTCAATATTTCGAGTTTTTAGTGATTTTTTTTCAATTTCTGGCCTGTGATTCTTTGTTCAATCAATAACTCCAGCACTAGCATAATGATATTGTTTCTGAATCTCAATAAACATGTGATTGATCTCGATGAAATCCATTTCATATGGCAGCATCAGCTATTAGGTACTCTATTATTTCCAAATCGAAATATTGCGCAAACGGTACACAGTATTGGGTTCTCTCAAGGGTACCTATCAATGTTGAATTCGATGATATTAAAGTTCACATCAAATTTGGATCGAAAAAAAATAGAATCATAGAAGGTATGGTCACAATTAGTTGGTATGACCCTTTTGATTATCGCTGCCCTCTATGAGAGTTAGATATAAAACCTAATTCGTGCGACGTATCAGTTCTCGAAACACTTCCATACAAAATTTCATCACAATGTTGCCAGTATTCTAGAAATAATCGTGAAAAGTGTTGATGAAGAAAAACATTCCTCAACACCATGTATCTTGATAACGAATGCCGTTACGACATTTTTTCACTGTGTAAACCCAACTTATTCTGCAGTGTTCGCAGTGGAACACCTTGTATGAAATCATTTTTCAGCTACTATGGAATCTAATGAGTCCATTGAGGAGTCCCATTCTCTAATCTTATCAAAATGATAATTCGTTCTTGGTATACATTCAACAGAAAACAGCTACTTTCCTGGCTATATGCCAAGACGAACATTGAAATATATCTATCGAAGACATACAATGAGAATTCGAGACCGAATATCTTCTGAAGTAGCGAATCCGTATATTCTCCTCCAGATGAGAATATTCATGTATATAATCTCATTCGGAATATTCAACAGAAAATGACTACTTCCCCGGCTATCTGCCGAATATTGAATTACAGTTGTTGAACAACCAATATGAGAATATGAAAATGACAGTCTCCTGAAATTTCAGATCAATTGAATAATATGATGTTGAATCATACATGAATATAACTCACCAATATATTCAGCATTCTTAATAAATGAGTATTGGAACAAAGAGAATGAATATACTTGAATGAACTCTGATGTTGATGAGGTTCAAGCTTCTGGATATCATTCGCATCACAAAACTTGTGCGAAGTTGGAGAAGTAAGACCAGACAAATAATCATGGCCTGAGTAGTATCATACAGAAATATAACTCACCAATATATTCAGCATTTTAAATAAATGAGTATTGGAACAATGAGAAAGAATATACTTGAATGAACTCTGATGTTGATGAGGTTCAAGCTTCTGGATATCATTCGCATCACAAAACTTGTGCGAAGTTGGAGAAGTACAACCAGACAAATATCCATGGCCTGAGTAGATCAAGAACCCATACCTCGGTAACATCAATTAACCTATATGATCTTAGCGCCTTTCTGCTCCCGATCAGCAAGGCAAATGATCAAAATGGTGAGAGTGATTACCACGGGCTGCGGGACTATCTAAACTTATTTGAACCTCAAATGTGAGCTTCATAACAGAATAAATATATCGTCACAATACAACATGAAAACCAATTTATGTTCTATTGAACCTTGATATATTGCGCTCTCATTGAAACAACTGATTAGCATCAATGCCCAGAAGCAAGTTTGAACGCATTCATCCATTCAATAATCTTTCAGTTTCGTTTTGTATATCGCTACTTCGAAGTTGGGAACCAACTTCCCAGGAGTCGAAACTTGTGCGGGATAGGAAGAGCGGGACTTACAGCTCATATAGTGGAATGTGAACCACTTCTAGGGCATCAAGGTGCTGCCAGGATTACCACCATAGATTCCCACAATTCAAAGAAAAATGCTCAGCCGATAGCCAGACTCAAAACCGACAGTACCTTCGCATCGTGAACGGATAACTATCTAATTTCAGCGCATATACAAACTCGGTCACGGCGCCCATAACAACTGGAATAACAACTTCGTTGAGTTTTTCAATTTGATATACATATATGTGAAAGTAAAATTTCAGGAGTGAGTTTTTTCCTCATTCTGGATGGAAAAGATGAAGAGAGATCATGAATTATTTTTCAAAATGAAGGCCATTGTGAAGTTCACGGAAATATGTGATCAAAAATTGATATAAGACCATTTCCCTCGCCATTTCCCTTAAGTCTCATATCAAAAATTTAATAAGCAAACATCAGCCACAATAGAGTGAAACCACACAATTTCCATGATCACAAAAATCCAAAGTATGAATGCAGTTGTCAAGTATTTATATGCAATGAAAACAAACACAAAATACCAGACTAAAACTTCAACAGAACACTGAAAGCGGAACTACAACTTGTCGGTATTACCCTGCGGTCTTGTTGAAAACTAAACAGAGCAATGAATGTTTTTATGAACAGGAATGAATGAAATATATAAATATTATGATAATGAACCCCCCATATATTGATTCTGATTTGATATTCAGCAGAGAGTTTGAATGCGAAGCTTTCTCAAACATTTTCCTAGGGATTGAGTCAACCTGAATAGATGAACTGGAGCGGTCTTCTTCTTTGCATAACCTCAGGTTCGACATATCGTGAAAACCACTGAGGACTCATGCATATATACTGCATTCTCTTTTGGATTCTCATTTCTTCCTAGTAAACTATCATGATCAGGCTGGAAAGTTTCATGATCATGCTTATACTATGATGAAGTTTCGTTGATTCGAAATAATTTTCTCATTATTCGTGTCAATGAATACATATTTTTCATCTTATTAATAGTCGTAATGAATTAGTATGCTCAAACTCGATTAGATTTGTCTAAGGAACAGAATTGAATTAGTGGTTGCATATTCTTTAACGCTGTCAACAAGTATACGAATACGCCCGAACAACATTCAGGACAGATACAGAGGTGGTGCAGCCTCCGACGCCACGCAGAGTCGTGCTGGATAAAATCTAGTGACTACTCCCCACAGCCTGTGGAGTGAATAATCACTGGGAACAAGAACCGTGTGCCCTGAGTACACGCAATGATCCAAGTATGACGGCCCTGCACGCTGGGATTTTTTGGATTTCCGAGAGCAGCGTATGTCGTGTTCCTCCTTGGGAGCCGATTATCAGGATGACCATTCCCACAGAATAGTCGTGATGAAGCCTGCGGAGTTCGAAGAGAAGATTTCGATATTTGGTCCGTTCTTTTTTCTTCTTCAAAACGATGTTCGGTTCGGCTGGCGTCGAAAACTCGATCACGAACATCGCTTTGGTTTGTTGGTCGAGGAGGACTACATCAGGCTTGTTAGCATGTATTCGCCTGAGGGTGGAGAATGAGAAGTTTCAATAAATTAGGCACCTCTCATTCTCCACAACGGACCCAATATCCCCCGGAGCATAGGGCAACACTAGGGTCTCGTCTATTCCGTACGAGTGCCTCAAATTGTAGTAGAGCACACGCAATGCCGCATTGTGTTTATGGATATAGGCCGAGACTGCATACACCGTGCAAGAGGACAGCAGGTGAATAATTGTCTCACGCACCCTGCGGCAGGCCCTGCAATATGTGTCAGGGATCTCCATACCCACGCGGCTACGGTAGACGAGAGTGTTAAAAAGCCCATCCGGGCATGCCATGATGAACACCTCTGTTCTCAAGTTGAGTTTTGCTGGCTTTAGAGAAGCAGAAGTCAGTTCTTTGGATAATCCCCGATCTTCAATGGTCTTGAAGTAGACCGAATGCATAGGCTTATGTGAAGCTGCAGGAGCTTCCTCACTTCTGCAGCTTTGGTGCGGGCCTTCCTCCGAGTGGGCTCTAGCTCAAAAACCGAGTCCTGAGCCTCCCGCTCGTAGTCGAAAATCAGAGACAATTCATCGGCTGCTCGACGTGCTACCCTAAAAGGAAAGAGTTCCTACTCCTGCTTCTTTATGGGTTTGAACCATTTGCAGGAGACGATACGAACTCCTGATGACATTGCAGGCTTCATCCAGAACCATTCTGTTATGGAGATACTCCAAGCTCAAGAGTCCACGGCCACCCTTGTCTCTAGATATGTATAATTGGGAACGGACGAATTTGGATGCTCCTATGGAGCTGCATCATCTTGCGAGTACTCACGTCAAGTTGTCGCAGCTCGACTTGAATCAACTTTATCACTCCAAATGAGTGAAGTAGGATTAGAACAGCAAGCATGTTAGTAGCAGCGACTTTGTTCTTCCCCGACACCAGATCTGTCGGAGCCGCTTCCGATACTTGTTGCGAAGAGCGTCTTTCACCCGTTGTGCCTCCTGGATTTGAGTTTCCTCTACACCCAGGTAGGTGTACGTCTCTCCGGCATCCAGGATATTGTAGGATGCTTCCGTCCACGAGCTGCGCGTCCTTGTCGTAGTTCTCGCATCGTCCTCTCTCGACATGAACCAGTGCACATCATCATTATCATCATTATTCATATTATCATCATTATTTTTTTGTATTGTCATTATTATTATCATCATCATTGTTATCATTATTATAATCAATATTCACACTTAAGTGTTTTTCCACTTACTAAATCTACTGTCTCAACGCCCCGACACTTTTTTTTGCTTACTCTGTTAGCATCTTCAGGATAAGATTGAGAATATTATCATCATGAATAATGAGTAGTTTCAAATTTTGTGCATGGGAAAATATGTAGGTTAATATCGGATGAATTCAAATAGTGTTTTCGAGAAAATACTTACGGAATACTGTGAGTGGTACTTCTCTCGATATATAACCAGCACCCTCTGAGGATGTCGCACGACACTCAATACGACTTTTTCTGAGATGTCTTGGAGTGTGTGCTATAACAAGCTGATTAACTGTGGTATGTGAAGCTCTGCTGGAGTCTATAACGCTGTCCAAAATTGTACCGTTGTACCACCAGTTTAGGGTTGGTCTTGGACGACCTATAAACATTCGTGTATATCATTATCTGAAAATTCATGAGATATCTAGTTTCTGGATGATTGATGAATCGATATTCATCATACAGGACGTATAAAGGAATTTTGAATTGTTAAAACCTTATCACGAATCTGCGATTGAGGTCTATAAAAATAACAAGTTTCCATCGTTCAAGTTTGAACCCCTTGTTTGGATGGAAGTATTGAAAAGGAAGATTCTCAGATATATTTATGAATGAAAAAAATTGGATATTTATATAGAGAAATACATTGAGAATTCGCATGCTTCATGTGATGAAAATATTAATTCTTACTCGGTTTATTCAACAGACAACAACTGATTTCCTGGCTATATGCCATGACGAACATTGAATTACATCTATTGAACACACACGATAAAAATTTTAAAATAAAATCTTCTGGAGTAGAGGCCTTGTGGTTATGTCAATAAATTATATTTTTCAGATGACAGATGAAAGTTCGTTATAGGTTTTGTTACACGATTCAATTTGCATTTCAATAATGAACATATTGGTAAGTTATATTTTCATACAGCATTCGATTTGGGAGATAATGTCGATTCTCAATTCTAGAGGATTTTGATTTTTCAGGCTCTCTTTAGATATAATACATTGTTCGACGTGGCAAATTGCCAGGAAAGAAGTTGTTAGTCTTTATGTGAAGAAGAATGCAAATTCTCTACTTTCAACTACAGAAGATTTTGTTCTCTTATCGTGTGTGTTCATTAGTTCAATGTTCGTCGTAGCATATAGCCAGCAAAGTCGTTTTTTTCTGATGAATACTCCGAGGAAAAATTAATATTTTCATCACATGGAGAACACAAATTCTCAATGTACTACCCAATATATATATCTCCTTCTTCGTGTTCATAAATATATCTGAGAATATTCCTTTTCAATAGATATCTAGTTGTTTTCTAGGAAAACTCCATGATTCATTTCGGAAATGAATGATTTCTTCCTGAAGATAGAAAAGTCAAGTGAGTTCTCATCAGGTATTGATATATGGGCATTCAAAACTATGATAAAATAATCACTCTACACTCTTTTACGCACTAGCTAATACAATTTTTCAACGCCTTGGCACTTGTTTTGCTACTCACGTTAGTATCTTCAGGATTGAAACTTGTCTAAAGATGCTTACAAAACTAGTTTCAATCCTATTCTGAAGTTGCTCAACTAGTTTCGATATTTTTCTGGAGATGCTAACAATACTGGTTTCAATATTTTTCTGAATCTGCTAACATAGCGTTGAAAAATCGGTCTGGCTAGTGGTTTTTGTCTCACGACTATGAGCATTCACTATACGAATTGGTCAAGTACCTCTGCAGAAAAATATTTCAGTGAATACTGATGGGACATGTCCTGTAGAGATTCTGACTGTCTAGATGAACTTTTTCTCAGTTCGAAATTTGAAGTCGATATTCATCAAGAGCTATCAGAAAATAATGCAGAAAAACTAATATCCACCTCTTTTTTTTTTAAAGGAATTCAACTACCGCCTAATAGTTATTTATTATACAAGGGAAAATAGTAGTAGATTTTAGCTCCAGGTTGTGTTGTCTTCCGACGCGTAGCGGAGGGAGACAACAAACCGTGAGCTAAAATCTAATATTTTTCCCGTGTATAATACACTATTTTTTTCTGTGATAGAAGAAAGGACGAATCAATATTGAGAAGATAATACATTATTTTGAAATCTGAAAATTATCGACGTGAAATTTCAAGTTTTTAACAGTAGGGACACCTGCGTTTTATAGGCATCTTTATCATTCTTTTGAAGTAATCAAATATCTGATGTCACTTCTGTCAGTTCAATTCTGTGATTTGATTTTAAAAAATTGCGAATTCAGTAGTTGTTTAGTAATATACGAAACCGCGAAGTCGAATGGAAGATAAAAGGACTGGTAGTTCTTTCTCGGAGACGGTATTATTGACTCATTTTTCGGAACTATAGCACAATAAAAGCCATTAACAGAGTATATATACATGTGAAATATATCCGGGACAAAAGTACTCACTTTTTTCCCACGGGAAAAAAGTAATTTATGAAAAGTGACATTTTATAACCTGCCAACAGAGATGAAATGCCAAACTTTTTTCCCGTCACAGAAAAAATAATTTATTCACCGTAATGAGTTCAACTGAAATGGTGGCATCGTAGCAATCAAATATAATAGATGACGTATTCCGCTATGATATCTTCGAATATGGAATGACATTGATGAACCACCAAGGAATATCGTAGCATGTTTTCGAGCCAAACAGTACGAATTGTCAACTCACCTCCATCAACTTGACAGGACAGGAACATCGCATGTCCTTCCAGAAACGGTCCAGCAGGATGGTTCACACGAATTTCTCGTCCTTCAGCGTCGAATATCCTGGGAGCAGATGGCTGAGCTGAAACATGGAATAATATGCAACCGAGAGATGCAATGATTTGATTAGTCATTATACTGAGTGTTATATCCTTGATAATTCCTACGAAAATAATGTTATCGATCTTTGGAAGAAGTCCATGTTTACTCAAAGTGTAGTATGGTATAGTTCAAAGATAAGAAACCACAAAATCCATTTGACTCATCAGAGATTAATCACACATGTACATGTTTCGGGCTCATATGAGCCCATAATCAGTCGAATATAATATTTCTTATTCTAGAAAAAAACGATGACGTAGGAATATATATAATGAATACTTACTCACATCAACACATGGAGATGAAATAAGATAAAATTCGAATTATGTAGATAATGAATCGGAGAAACTGATCTGGAATACATTGAGTTTATGAAATTGCAAAAAGGAAATGATATAAGATCACTCATTGTCCATGATATAGAGATATGTGTTTTATGAAAACATTTAAACATAGTTTAGGTGTCTCAATGTAGTTTTATGATTCTTAAAAAGTGGCAATTGAACATAGCAATATCAAAACTCAGTTCAATCACTTGTTGAGAAACCGGAAGAATTGAAGTTTGCGAAAATGACATGAAAGGCAATGTCGTGTCATCCAGATTATCGAACACTCATCTCAAAACAATTGGAATAATATGTATATAATGAAACACACGATACCAGACGTAGGGTTATTACATTGGTTTCGCCAATTTTTTGTCTACATAATTTGAATCATTCTACTGAAGAAATATCTGGAGATGAATATCGGTAGAAAATTGTTGGATTCGCTTGATTCTTGCACCAAAAGATGCGCAAAAAAAATTATATAACCCAATTTCGGCATGAACTGGAGTTGCCCGGTTCTTGCACCAAGGTCTTCAATTTCAACCTTCGGAAGAGAAGCTACCGGACGCGTCCGGTGCGTCAGCTGCACAAGCGCAGAAACCATGACGACGCGCTGCGCGTACTTGTCAGCAGCGATCGTGTTATGTATAATATAACGCATTGGATTTCGGCTGATCGAAATGAAAACACTCTTTGTGATGATGAATGTAGGAACTCTAACCTACTAATGTCAAGTTGACCTGGAAATTCCTGGTTGGTGAGTTGACGAAGTCGACTCTACACCTGAAAACTCCCTGGTCGTGGACGTTGATGTTCTGTATGCTCAGCCTTGCTTGAGATGGCTCGCCCTCAGTTATGAAATAGCTGCGCGAACCAAGATCGTCACTCATTGCTAAGTGCGAGGCTTTGTCGATGGGACCATCTCTTGCATCTAAACTGCAACAAAACAATAGTTCAAAATTGAGTATGAAGCTGTCACTAAAGTGACATTCAAAGCTGCTGATCAATCGAACCGCATCAAGTACATTTTTGCTCTGAATTCAACATTGACTATTTTCGCGAAAATTTCACTCATTCGGATGCATTGATCCATTGGGTATGTAACAGATAGGCTGCTGATGGAGATACATGGTAACCGCTGGTTATACAGGGTGACAAACAAACCTCTGCAAAATATTGAAGAATTCTCCATACTCCCAATTTGATGGAAAATTTTGATATTTTCATCAAATAGATTTTCATAATTCTCAAGCATATTTTTTGGAATAGTTTCGCAATTCACCTTTTTTCTTTCCAGATCTTCGAGAAGATTTTTTTTCGAAAAATGTGATAATTTGTACTACTGACTAGAAATATTCTTATTCATGGTTCAAATATCACAAACATATTTTCTCTTGTATGAGCCATTGTGACATTTATTGTATGAAATCTCATATCGTTTATATACACAGTTTTTGGCAACAATATTTGAAAGATATTATTACAGAAAAACCGTGCACAACACAATGATCAACATGTATTGTGTTCGAGATTGACTTCCCTTGAAGTCGCAGGAGAAAAACCAGATAGAGAATATACAGGGTGCTATACCAAGATTGATGGAAGTTTCAAACAATGAAACTTTGAGAGTTCAAAAATGTATGTGATATATCGATGAATTCATACTCATATTTCTTACTCTTACTCATCATTGAAATGTTGCTCAGTGTAGATTATACGAGGTGATTTACAATAACCTGCTCATTTTTCTGAATGGAAATTTTGAGGAAGTTGGCTTTCTCAACTGAAAAAGTGGAACAAGGTGAACTGAGATGTGTTTATTGAACACGATGAAACAATTAGCACTAAAATGCATGAAAATCATTGTTCAGTATTTGGTAGGTCCTTCTCGCACCCTCAACACTTTTTCACATCTTCGCGGCATACTTTACAATGACAGTTATCAGTTGATTGATATATCCGATTGGATTCGATCTCGATCGTATTCCCAACTTCAAACGTGAGTACACATGTTCAATCAGATTTCCATCGGGTGACTTGGATGGTCATTCCATACTATTTATGTTGAGAGTCTGCAATTACTGGTAGATGAATCGTACTCGATGTGGTCTCGCATTTCTTCAACAAGGACATAATCATCATCAAAGTTTTCGGCAAATGGCACTTCGACAGTCAAATTACTCCTGTCTCTGCAAAATATTGAAGAATTCTCCATACTCCCAATTTGATGGAAAATTTCTGATATTTTCATCGAGCAGATTTTCATAATTCTCAAGCATATTCTTTGGAATAGTTTCGCAATTCACCTTTTATCTATCCAGATCTTCGAGAAGGAGATTTTTTTTCGAAAAATGTGATAATTTGTAATACTGACTAGAAATATTCGTATCCGTGGTTCAAATATCACATATTTTCTCTTGTATGAGCTATTGTGACATTTATTGTATGAAATCTCATATCGTTTTTATACACAGTGTTTGGCAACAATATTTGATAGATATTATTACAGGAAATCCGTGCACAACACAATGATCAACATGTATTGTGTTCGTGATTGACTTTCCTTGAAGTTGCTGGAGAAAAACCAGATAGAGAATAAACAGGATGCTATACCAAGATTGATGGAAGTTTCAAACAATGAAACTTTGAGAGTTCAAAAATGTATGTGATATATCAATGAATTCATACTCATATCTCTTACTCTTACTTATCATTGAAATGTGCTCATTTTTCTGAATGGAAATTTTGAAGAAGTTGGCTTTCTCAACTGGAAAAGTGGAACAAGGCATGAACTGAGATGTGTTAATTGAACACGATGAAACAATTAGCACTAAAATGCATGAAAATCATTGTTCAGTATTTGGTAGGTCCCCCTCGCACCCTCAACACTTTTTCACATCTTCGCGGCATACTTTTCAATGACAGTTATCAGTTGATTGATATATCCGATTGGATTCGATTTCGATCGTATTTCTAACTTCAATCAGATTTCCATCGGGTGACTTGGATGGTCATTCCATACTATTTATGTTGAGAGTCTGTAATTACTGGTAGATGAATCGTACTCGATGTGGTCTCGCATTTCTTCAACAAGAACATAATCATCATCAAAGTTTTCGGCAAATGGCACTTCGACAGTCAAATTACTCCTGTCTCTGTACACTTCTGCTGTAACCGTCCTTTCATCATATCAGGTCTCTGTACACGACTTACGATTCTGGTGAAACAAATGTTGACTCATTGTGGTGAGCGAGTATAACAAAAATTTTGACTGAAGAAGAGATGGAACTTAAATGATACTTTTATAACTGTGGAATAACATCTTTCAGGATTTGAATGATGATCTTTCGAATTCCATATTTTGATGATAATCTTGTTCCAATTCAAATCTGTGAGGTAACCTTCTTTAAACAGAAGGAGTGATTTGAGAAGGTGAGCTATTGCACGTTGGAAACGTGTACTTCTCACGTACATCAGATGACATTTCGTGGTTAAAATTTTTTATTCAGCAGTTATAGGATGTTTGTGGATAGAGACTTGTATAATTGGATTTTTCTTGGTGTGGTCTGCAGAATGGTGGCCTATGGACGTAGGAGTCTATATTCGACGTGAACGCAAGGTATGTGGTTGTTCAAACAATCTAATTATACACCTTTGCGCTTTCGCCACTAGATGGCTCTTGGGATCAGATCGTCCTCCTACTCTTCGGACCTTTGATTGAGAGAGTTATTTATTGCACTAGGCAGCAACGTAGTTAATTGACTGCCGGGGCTGTTACTTCATAGGAATAGTCAAGGCATAGCTAATCTACATTTGCTGCCGTGTAGAACATATAATTTTTTATCCAAATGAGATGAAACAATTTTGTGTGATCTTTTCATTGAAAATTCCATCATTCACTGATTCAATTTTGATTACCAATTCCATTCAAATTACTTGGAACGTTGAATAGCAACTGTTTTTTTGATGCCTAGGCAGAGAGATGGTACCTTTCCTGCCTGTTGAGTGTCATAGAAAAGCCACTCTCTATACCGCTTGGAGAAAAATAATATTCGTGATGATTTCAAATAATGTGAGACTGTATTAAAATCTTCCATCAAGTACTAGGCCAGACACAATCGATATTGCAATGATTGCAGTAAACTTGCATTCTTGAATTTATGCAGGTCGAGTTATGCGAAGGATCTGACGAGGAATGTTGGGATGACGACTTTTCAATTATGCAAAATTTCCGACAATTCAAGCTTCAATTCAGGATTCTAGGTCTGATGCTCTCCAAGATACAGGGTTCTTAATATTTTATATTCCCTCCAGAATGTTCAAGAATAGGAAGCGCGATCTTCAATAATAATTATACATTGTTGCTCGGAGAGCGCGATATTCTTGACTGTTGCATTACAATTAGGAGTTCTGAATAAAAACCTTTAACATCAGTTTGTGATGAAATGGCCAGATGAGTTTTACGATAGCCGTATCTTTTTGACAGCAACCAATATAATATCTCATTGTTCCATCATAATTTCCATTGTTTCGGATTTTATCACGCGAAATTGGTTTTGTGAGCGGTAACATAATTGTATTGTTATTTTGTATTCAGCTGTTTGGAGCATTGAGCGTTTATTATTTATCCTATTTGGATGAAAATGTGTTTTAAATAAAATGTACACACATTCTGCATCATAATGAATATTTAATGAACATTTTCATGGGAAATGCGAATTTTACACTATAGTGGGGAATATTCACAATATCATTTATATATGAATCTAATTTACATACCATATGCAAAATAATAACTTTATTTTGATAAACTTCATATCAGTTCAATCTATTTCGAACCTAAAGAAAATAGGCAATATTGAAATGGCAATTGAATCATCTTTGCATGCATAATAAAATTATTTTCAGGCACAAATCACAATGGGGGAGTGGCCTGGTACTATAGTGATCAAATGATGGTAAGTTATCACTTCACTGTATGATTAGGGACCTGAATCAATGTTTGTAACACTACTCGTATTCAAGATGAATAACTAATACCTTATTTAAATGATTATGATGACAGGATTTTAACAATTCAGAGTTTGTCGAGAATCCCGTCATTCATGCCAATGATGAGTTATCGAACAGAATTCGACTTATTTTTGTTACCACCATATGAATCATCGATGGAATATACTGAAGTCCAATCAGAGTCTCATCTAGAAATCACACGTCAGAAGAACAATAATATCGAATTTCTGTTTGAATCTTACTGAGCAATATGAGTGAATCGTGTGAAATACTTGTTTAACTCAAAATTCTTTATTCGGACAATAATCAGAAGGTCAAACATTATCATCTTCAATTTTTATGAGTGAAGTATATAGCAAGAGCTGCCATGAGACAACTCGATTGAAGAAGACAACATAATGAACATTGGGATCCCATTATGAGTATACATCCTTTCTGAGATATTTCATCATCGATTCCGAACATAATGAAACCAGCTTTTATATCTATCGGAGCGCATGGAAAGGATTCCCTATAATATGCGGAGAACAACGTGCTTGCTTAGGGAGGAAAGGGAATAAGGTAGGCTTTACATTATTTCGTCAACTCACGCAGAAACTATAATTGCAATTTTACAATGATGAGACCATTCGATCACGAAGCAAATCTTGGATGATGATGAGCAACCAAGTATTCGTTGATACATCAATTTTGTGATATACTAGTTCCTAATATAAAACGTTTTTGGTCATCGAAGAATATCCAAGGAATAATGAAGATCACGATTCACGATTTGTTTTCTACAGTAGATTTAGAAATCAGTGATCATGCAGGAAATAATAGAGTATCTTGTTGCATATGCTATTCAACCATGGTGACATAACATTTCTTGGACACTACATAGCTAAATATAGACATCAATATTCATTCATTTATTTATTTAT